CATTTTTACTGATTCACTGACAGCATCTTTTCCTGGAATCAGGACATCTCTGGACTTCAGGACCATGAGTTTCAGATTCGACATCCAGATTCCCCTGCCCTGCTTTACCAGTTCCGATTAGGAGATGAAAAACTCCAGGTAACATATGAGTGTGTATTTTCATGGATAGAAGGAAAGCCAGCCAGGCTCAATCAGACCTGGGGACTGTGCACTTGCTGGAAATCTCGTGAGGTCAGAATGTGAACTGGTTGTAGATTATTTACTAAATCAAGTTAGAACAAATCTAAGGACCATCTTTTTAGTCACTACATGATTAGTCATTTAGAGAGAGGGGCTCCATTCTTATTAGGTAATTACAAAGTAGATTACTAGGCAGTGGACATTTGCTCTGTGATTCTCTGTTGTCATATCACCCATTCAGTTGGATGATAAGTGAGTTTCTGCCTATTTGCACCGAAGAAATAATGCTACTCCCAAGAAAGAACACTACACAAATTAACTCCTAGGATCTAATCTGCCAGTTTTATTTTTTGGAAGAACAAAATTTAGTGGGTCGTTGTTTGCAAGAGGCAGTATCCTCTGTTGGTCATTCTCTCTCTTCCACGCACAGGCTCCAATGGCTTTGTTTTATCCAGCAACCTTTGGAATCGTTGGACAGAAAATGACAACTCTGCAGCACAGGTCCCAGGGCGACCCTGAGGATCCTCATGATGAACACTACCTGCTGGCCACACAGAGCAAGCAAGAGCAGGTCCGTGGTGATTCTGGTGTGAGAGGAGACAGTTTTCCTGCAGGAGAGCTTGCCTGTGATTAATGGATCAGTGCAGTCACTGCCGTCTGACAGCATGCAGAAGCTGACACTTTCTAGAACTATAGATGAAATGAAGTCTAAATTTAAAATATGGGTAACAGATCTTTTTTTGTTCAGCAGGCATTCATCCAATTTCCAGCATACCAGTCCACACATTTAAAAGTTAAATTAATGGAATTACTTTTGAATATTTATCCATAGTAAATATTTTCAGTAAAATCTCACCTCTATTTTTAAATAAAGTATAATGCATGAGAGGTGTGTGGCATGGGCAAAGAGCTGAATTCCTTTGTCCAAGGCTGATCCCAGTAATAGGATGTCTGAAGCAGAAACACAAATAAAAGCCATTATCTGCTAATGAAACAGCAGCACATGGTGGAGAGAAGAGAGCCATAAGCCTTTTCTAGTCCTCATTGCTGTCTCAAAGGTGAGCACAGTGGTTACAAAAGGTCTGAAAATGAGGATTTTGTAGCAGGCACTGGCCCAGGAATTCCACTGAAATACTCTACTTAAAAACTCAGTTCAAGGGGAGAAAAGCTCATCTACACTGACATCTCAAATTTAAATTCCAATCTGTAATAGTAAGGTTCTGAGACCCGCCCTACCTGCCAGTGACTGCTCTAGAATTGTCATAGTGCATCCTCTCCTATACATCACTTCTCCCTCCCAGGTGGTTGGTTGTATATACTCTGGTGTATTTCTTCTCTGCACCGCAGCAACAGGCCCTTGTTTATAGTCCTGTATAGGAAGAAGCGGGGGGATCTAGCTGGAGACATCAACAGTGTTCTGTCTTATTCATACCATCTACTTCATTGTCCTTTTCATTGATTTAAAGTCTGCAAAAGCTACTGCTGACCGAAAGTCTGCATCCAAACCCATTGGATTTGAAGGGGATCTTCGTGGGCAGTCCTCTGATCTTCCAGAAAGACTTCATTCCCAGGAGGTGGATTTGGGATCGTCCCAGGGAGACTGTCTGATGGCTGGCAATGACTCGGAGGAGGCCCTTACTGCACTGATGTCCAGGAAGACTGCCATCTCACTGTTTGAAGGAAAAGCCCTGGGCCTGGATAAAGCTATCCTTCATAGTATAGACTGCTGCTGTAAGCACATTCAGGGTGTCTGGGAGATAGCAATTAAATAAATTGCTTCAAGCTAGGGTATGGTTGTGCAACCTAGCATGGCATACCCATTCAAAACCAGTCGAGCACCTACCTTGTACTTGCTTTGTCGGGTGTTGGGAACTGATTCCTAGCCTTATTGGAGGAAATCAGAATAAGGCAAATTATCACACAAATGTGAAATTACAACTGTGGCAGGTGTAACAAAATTGAACTAACCAGTACTAACTGAGAGCTTCTGATTGAGGAATTTAATAAGGGATTTTTTACTCTGTAGGAGGAGTATGGAGGGTGGGAATCAGGGAAGGCTTCCTTGAGGAAAAGCCACTTGAGAGAGATCTGGGCAGTGAGTGGCCGTTAGCCAGTCACAGGTAGGTGGCATTCCAGGCTGAGGAAGCAGCCTGTGTGAGAGCCAGTGTGGCTGGGACACAGTGTGAGGATGAGGCTAGAGAAGTGAGTACACGCCACATTGGACTTTTTATGCCCCCTCAGAGATTTTGGTCATATTGCGAGTAGCAGGGTGGAGGCAGCAACATGCTCACATTTGAGTTTTGCAAGGTTCCTCTGGCTGCATTGTTGAGGAGGGGTTAGAGAGAGATCCTTAAGAAGGCTCTTGCAGTTATCCAAGCAAGAGATGGTGGGTGGGTATGGAGAAAAAGCATGGAAGGGCTATCACTGTCTTTGCAGCATCAGATGATACCAAAAAGAAGATGTACAGCTCCATCCTGGTGGTGGGAGGTGGTTTGATGTTTCATAAAGCACAAGAATTTCTGCAGCACAGAATTCTCAACAAAATGCCACCTTCATTCAGGCGAATTATTGAAAATGTGGAAGTGATCACAAGGCCCAAGGTATGTTCATGGTGCAAGTTGGACTGTGCAGGTAAAACCAGCATTGGTTATTTCTAATTCTAACGTATGTGCATGGATAAAATCCTGGAAGTCATGGGCTTGTGTCTGGTAGGTCTTGAGGTTTGGGGCGAGTGGAAATATTACTTACAGAAGGTCACAGATGTGGGGAAAGGAGGTGTGGACGACGGGACTGGATTCCTGGGTTTTAGTCCCTGCTGTGCTCTCCAAAGCTAGCAAGACTGACTCTGCCTTTGTAGAAGGATGGTGGGGCAAGAAGACTGATGGGTTTCACGACATCAGTTAGAACAACTCCATTGTTATCTCTTTCATAGTAAGGATCTGCTGCTGGTCCCTGGGTCTTTGAGAATCTTTTAGGTTTGGGCTTCCTTGAAATAAAAGCCTAGGAATTTAGAAACAGGTTATGCCTATATTTCATTATATATCATTGACAATTCCTAGGAATGTTCTTAATTAATTTAATCCTGAGGTAGAGATTGTGGGATATGTTTATTCTACTCCAACTTCAAATTAAGTTACTTCCTTATGTATGTTCTCCCTTCAGGGCTGACTGTGGAATAATAGTGAACAGTAGCAGCTTCAGTAATAAAACTAAAAAGTTTTCTTGTCAGTTGAAACAGGCCTGTAGTTCATGGGTCCTTAATGCAGGTTGAAAATCTGGCTTTTTAGGTATTCACTCAGCAGGTTTTTTCCCCACCCCCAAATTCAAATAAATGATTAAGCGTACATCTTTTCTGCTTGTGCTGACATGTCTGTATCTCTGCTCTAGGACATGGATCCCCGCCTGATTGCATGGAAAGGGGGTGCAGTGCTCGCGTGTTTGGATACGACACAGGAACTGTGGATCTACCAGCGAGAATGGCAGCGCTTTGGTGTCCGCATGTTACGAGAGCGAGCTGCCTTTGTGTGGTGATTTGGGCAGAAAATGTCACTCAGAAGCCCCAAGACAAGCCTCTTGGTATAAAAGACTCTTACAGAATATGTATTTTTTAATTTATTGACCTAGATGCTTCAGTTTCGTGGAAAATAAATGAATTTTAACTTTTATGTTGAGGACATGACATTGGTGTGAAATTATAAGCTGTTTCTGTAGTCAAGACATTTGAGAATAAATGTGCTAAGCTTTCTGCCCCATCTCAGGGTCTCAGAAACTCCCCAGTCATGTAAAGTGGTTGAACAGTTGTCTAGTGATGAAGCTCCTCATTTAAGCTGACTTCTCCTGCAACCATGAAGGATAGGTGCGTGACTTGGGGACCTGAATTGTGTGAAGAACTATATGGTCATGACATTTTCCCTCTTGTCTAGAACAGCAAGTACATGAAGGGACTCGTGCTCTTGGAATTCCAAGTAGGAAAAAAAGTTTTTGTTTTTTAAAACTTTCTGTTGGATTACAACAATGATGGGGGCCCATTTAGGTGTAGATTTACCGAGGCAAAGGTTGAAGACTGGGCTGGCTGGCTTTTGTTACCCAACATGCTCTGAGGTAAGCTTGGGAAAAGAAAAGTTATTATTTGACCAGAACAGAAGCAGAAAAGGAAAATTTGTTTCTTACCTAAAGCCAAATAGAAATGATTTAGGTATAACTTAGAGTTGTTAGTATGTGTATAAAGCGACAGCTACTAACTTAATCATTAAGTTACCCAGTTTTCCTTTACCTGAAGAACCCAGGGAAAGCATATGGAGTCCTTTGTGTTCAGTGTGATCTATTTATCTTAGTCTGAGCAGCCTGAAGCAAAATGATATAGACCGCTATTACCACCAGTGATCCAGGCCTCAGTGAAGCCTTCTGAGCCTCTGGCCAAAGGAGAGAAGGCATTGTCGGAGACTGGAGCCAGTCAGTGAGCACAGCCTGGGGATTAGAGACCTGGGAGGATTGGGAGGTGCCTGATTCCTGCCAGTCTTTTACAGTTGCTTCCACTGTCTCACCCTCAAGAACTGGAGGCAGGACTGGGGGAAAGATAAATGTAGGGACAGTTAAGGGGTGGAGATAAGAGTGGAATAGGAAATCAGGATGGTGAGCCCTGGCCCCTGGCTCAGTAGTTAGTGTCCGCCCACACACCGAAGGGTCACGGGTTTGATGCCCAATCAAGGGCACATACCTGGGTTGCAGGTTAAATCCCAGCTCAGGTCCGGTTGTGTGCAGGAGGCAACCAATCAGTGTGTCTCACATCAATGTTTCTCTCTCACCCTCTCCCTCCCATTCTCTAAAAAGCAATGGAAAAAATATACCCTGGGTGAGGATTAACAAACAAAACAAAATGAAAAAGAGTAAGGATAGAAATAAGCGTTAGGACATGGAGCAGTGCTGGTAGCGGGACATTTTCATTAAAGAGTATCCTATGTACCGGCCCAGTCGGTTAGGGACAAAGGAGAGTCCACCACTCTAACAAAATTTAACTTGCTAGTATGATTTGGAATGTATGCCTTCGATTTGAAAGTCGTGTGTTCCTTGATTTAAAAATTTTTTAACAATTAAATTTATATAATATTGGTTTTATTTATGTTTCTGAGCTGTTTCAACAAATTTAGTGGGCTACCTAGTTCCAGAAACAGTGTATTTCTGTTTTTAATAGTTTGTTTACATAATAGCCTATTGCTCTTATAACTGGTGGATGTTGATTCAGAAGAAGTTGGCTTCTAGTCCAAGTTTTGACATAGCCCTTTCCGTCTTCTATTACCAGCACTTTAAAGCACTGTACAAGAGGCAAGTAAGACATGAACCTAGTTCAGAGAGGGAAGGTAAGGTTCTATGAAGATACCAAATAATACAAGGGGTTACACATACACTAGGTCATCTGATCAGAAAGATGGGTTCAGCCTGTTGTCCCCTATTTTTGTTATATTAAAAATAAAGTGTGTGTGTGAGAGGGATTTTACCGAAAAAATTATTGAGTAAATTAGTGAGGGCTTACTAAATTTGGCATTTTAATTAAACTTAGCATGTTACAGAGCTAAACAATTCTACCAACAATGCAGGGCATGGACTATGCAAGACTGGATGTTCAGCTGAAAGATGCTTTCTCACTGTACTGTCAGATGGTTGTGGTTTCCCATTATACTATTCTTGATTTTTAGTTAAGAAACTGATTTAGCTCTATAATTGTACATTTAGTTTCCATTCCTTAGTTAATGCTACAGTAGTTAGTAATATTTGTAACTATTGGCATAAACAATTTAATTACTAGGCTAAGGCATATATGTTCAGTTGTGAGTCCACCCTAGTCCTATTGCTAAAGCACGTATGTACATAAAATCCTCCCTACAAGTACCCCTTACAGTAAACCTCACAACTATCACAGAAGCTTTTTCTAACTGGAGGGGCAGGAAGGCTTCATGTTCTCGCTTCCCATGGGTGGGCTACACTGAGGAGCAGCTGTTGTGGCAGGCTCGCAACCTTTTCCTCACTGACACGCGCTGCTCTACGTGAAGAAGTTTTGTGCAGAAAGCACTAGCATCCTTCATGAGGCGGTACTTGGGGCAGACACTGAGAGCATTGTAATCATCTTTGGTATCAGCCTCTCTAAAGTAAACCACCATGTACTTGTGCAGATGAGTCGGGCTTCTCAGATCACTGCAGAAGAGGTTGAAGGCAAGGGGGAACAGGTCTTGGGAGCTCTCACGGGGACTGCCCTTGCTCTTGCCACAGGTGCCATCACACACAGGGTTGACATCATTGGAAAGAAGGAAAATGACTCTGTCCGCTGCTTTCTTCTGAGTGGTGAGCCACTGCACCGGACCCATCTCGGCTATTTTCTTTTTCTGCCACTTGTCAAGGATAACCTCACTTCTGCAGTGGTTCTGAAGAAATTCAGTGAAGTAACAAACTGTGTGACGGAAACATATTTCAGACGGGTAAACCACAAGAACCTTGATGGGCGGCAGGAGCGTGCTGGTGGGGAAAGAAGGCTTGATCCTTCCTGTGGAAGGAGAAAAGCGATTGTTATCTACAAACAGTGAATGGCAGACACTGTAAAGATGTTGTGAAAGCTGTACTTTCTAAGTCCTCACCACTAAATTGGTTCTCTCAGTCAAGCCGTACCTTTTCAGGTCAATGCATAAACACTGTTTAGGTTTAAGGTATTCTGTTTTAGGTGGGTAGTTGTAACTTGAGTATTTTTAGTACTATATATAAACAGGAACAACCTGGCCTCTGCCCTTCAGGTTTAGAGTTTGGTCAAGTGAGTAGTTGTCCCGTTTTGTACCTGCAGGTGGCAGAGTTTCTTTATCATTCTATAAGGTTAAGTGGGGCCCCTTTTCAGCTGGAGCTTAACTGGAATACTGCCCCATGTGTGCTACAGAACAGAATCTACCTTTCAAAATACTCTAATTCAGGCCACACAACATCTAAGTATCCCCAAGATCAAAGTTCCACGTGGCTTTCTTAGCTTAGATCATGAGATTAATCTTGTTCTATCTACACCATCACCGAGACCCCAAAGGCTGCCTTTTTTTTTTCCTTTTTTCCATGTGGAGAGAGGAGAGCAGAGGTTTTCAGTGTACCACCCTCTAGTGGGTGTCTCTATACTCTGGTTTCTAAAGTCGGCCCTCAATATTGTAATGTTGGCAAGGTCCTTAGAGTACATGAATCCAAGTGACTTTTGTTCCTATGCCTTGCAATAATTATTTTTAAGAAGTAGAAACTAGCAGAGAGTACAGGTACAATGCCATTCCTTACTAGCTATCTTTGCCATTTCAGTACCTGTCCATGCCTCAATGGTAAAAATAAAACACATGATAGCCACTGGATTTGGAGGTCCAATCCCAGCTTTACCTTAGCAGATGTGGTCCAGTCATTATATCAGTCTTTTTAGGAGAGCTCTAAGGCATTAAATAAATGTTCATCTGACTCCCATCCAATGCCAGGATGGGGTTGCCTCTAGAGGAATCTCCTTTTTCTAAGTGTTATTCGTTCAGGTTTCTTTAAAGCACAGCATCATAACCCTTACCATGCCTCCACATGAGATAGATCCCAGTTGCCAGCACCCATGTGGCCACCAGCAGAGCCAGGAGGAGGAGTGGCAGCCAGCCACTCAGCACACTTCTCCCTGTAGAAAACAAAACCCATTCACCTTCAGCAAAACAAAACCAAATTATCTCCTATTTGGAAACTAAGATTTTTACTCTGTACTCTGCAGAAGTTTAGACTCCTTTAAAACCAAGGGTCACTAGATCTCTCAGGGGTCTGCAGAATGGTATGTTTTCCTACAGCATCCAGATATTTCATTAGATTCGCAAAAAGGATATCGGAGGGGGTTGAGAACAGTTCTCTAAAATCACTTTGGCTTCTTACTCCATTACCAGAGTTCATGTTCGGTTTTTTTGTTCTTTGATGAAAATGTTATTCTGGGTGAAGTCACTTAATACACAGTACACATAGGTGGATTTTTTGTTGTTGTTATCAATCCTCACCCAAGGTTATTTTTTCCATCGATTTTTTTAGTGCGAGTGGAAGGGAGGGAGGGAGGAGAGAGAGAGAGAGAAACATCGATTGGTTGCCTCCTGAATGTGCCCTGACCAGGGCCGAGAATCAAACCTGCAACCTAGGTACACAACCTTGATCAGGAATTGAACCCACAACCCTTCAGTGCATGGGCCGATGCTCTAGCCACTGAGCCACACCAGCCAGGGCCAAAACAGATAGCATTTTAGAAGGCAGTTTTGTAAGACAGGAAATGTCAGGGATAATGCCACCCCTCAGGGAATGTCAAGGGTCCCGTAAGCTCAGGCACACAGATGTGCTCAGGAGCCCACAGGCACTGTGCCCACACGGACAGGACTGTTAGGCACCTGGGTTATCTTCAGTTGGTTTGGCTGCATTTCTAAGAATAACACCTTTTGACCCCACCCCTAGGCTAGTTCCAGAACATTTTATTCATGTATCTGTAAATGGAAGCACTAATATCTCTAAATTCAGAGACACATTTTCCAGAACATGCTGCTCTCTGGCTCCAGTGAGGCATGTGTTTTGGTGCCAGTAATCGTAATTTGTTATCCAGATGTTGGCCATGTGACCCATCAAGTTACAGCAACAGCTAGGCCTGGGCCACTGGGACTGATAATAAAAACGCAGTGAAGTGCATCTTCCTTCATACACTCAGTCCTTTAACGCTCTTGACTTTTTTCAGCAGATCCTTGTGACTCTGAACATCCATTTCACACTGTTAATTTTTTTCCCCTTCTGTGTACATCCTGCTTCATAAAGGATTTTGGGGTGATTTTATAAATAAAGCCTTCATTCTTATTCAGATTGCAGGCGCTCTGGTGCAGCTCTGACATCTTTCCCTGCCCCCCCAGACAGCATACACAGGCAGGGACTCTGCCCCACCCCCACGTACACCCACCCTGTCACATTGAATAGGGGGTGGGGACAGTGAGCCTTCAAGTCCTGAACCTCTTTGATCATCCCATGACCTGACTGGGCGCTTACTGTTACCCAGAGGGAAGGACACACCTGTTTGTGGACAAAGCACAACAGTTCCTTTGCGACGGATGCAGTCGTTGCCACAAGTGTGGAAATACGGAGTCAACTGAGGAAAAAGGAGAGGCTCAGAATGTTCCCACCACACACACAGCAGAATCTCAGCATTACTTCTACCAAAACTTCTCTTCCCTTTTTCTCTGGTTTCAACCCTACCCCCACCCCCACCCCACAACCCCATAATAGGACTTTTCCCCCCCTTGGTCACACTTCAGTGGCAAAGCCCTAAAATCCAAACCAGTGACCCAAGACTGAAGCACCTAAGTCTCCTGGCATCTGAACCTAAACTTTGTACATGTTGCTAACATGTTAGTTCCATGTCCATACGGGTTAGGTCACATCCTATATATATACACAGATATTTCCTCAAACCAACAGCAGCAGAGTTCCAGTTAAGCCTGGCTTTATGACAGAAAAGTACCATGGGACTAGGAAAGTGGTTCCCTGGAAAAGGGTGGGGCAGGCATCTGCTCCCTCTGGCATGGCGAGGCACTGCCTTCAGGTTCCAGGGAAAGAAGCAAAAGCTCCTTCTGCCTTGGGTGTGGCTGTGTCCTACTGAGACTCTCCGTGGCCCCACATCATAAACCCAGATTTCACTGAGACCGGAGAGCACCTGTTTGTCCAACTTCCTACTTTGCATCTGAGTAAACTGAGGCCCTGCCAGGACAGGCAGTTGCCCTTCAAAGTTCATACATGAATCAGGAACCCAAGCCTTTGTGTTTCACATGGTTTGTTACTGCATTTTGCAGTTAAAACTGAGGCTTGGGAAAATAAAATGGTACTCCTGTCTCAGAACTACTTATGGACTTTGCAACAGAAGATGAACATAAAAGCCCTTTGGAAAGTCAACAGCCACTAATAAAAGCAACAGGCACCATAACTGTAAGGTCAGCCTCCTGACCTAACCACTGTAAAGACCGAGACAAGGGTCACTTAATGCGAGACTGCTGCAGAAATGAACAGGACGAGAGAACTCACCTACTCCAACTTTGAAAGGACTCGTCAAAAGCCATTAATGGTGGAAAAATCAGTCTTCCCCTCCCCAGAGCTCCTCACTGAACTTTACCTGGACCACAGCTCCTTCACTCTCCCCAGTCACTGGAACCATGACCGAAGCTCGGGTCAGTTTGCTCTGGTGCAGAGAAGTGACAAAATCAAGAATGATGAGCCATGTGAGTGAGTGGGTCAGAGTCGGCCAGCGAGGAAACCACTCTTCCCAAACTGACCTGCGACTCGCTAGTCTATATGACACGGATTCCTTCCTTACTTCTGACCCTCTACCTCGGTTTCCACTTACAGATGCACAGGGACATGTCCAGGGATGCCCCCAGGGACTTGTATTTCTCTGTTGAATTAATCAGAATCCCCCAGCACGTTCGGACAGCAGACAGTCCTGCCTGTGCAGCCACCTCGCCGTTGAGCAAGGTAAGGAAAGGCGAGGTGAGGACGGGACAGTGGGAAGGAAGTGAAGGGAGAGAGTACCTCCAACTGAGAAAGCCCAATCACGCTGTTCTTCTGGATGACAGCCATGTATCTGTTTCCAAGGGGACTGGTTGTAAAATTCACTTCGACTGTCTTGTCATCCTTCTTACAAGCAGTGATGTTTGGGTCCCACAGACTTCCTGTCAGTCGAGAGAGAATCACAGGGATGAAGTCGCAAACTCCTCATTTACCCAAAAGGACTTGACCAAAAAAATACAAGTTCTCAGGCACACATCCAAGAGAGATGGACTCTACTGCACAGTGCACTTTTCATTTGTCATTGCTCCTGGAATCTCCAAGTAGCTGCTGCCTGAGAAAGATTAAGGACCCCAAGTCACTGCTCTGCTAAAGTAGCTTCCCTGGGCTGAGGGCGGTGGGAGGCAGGTTGGGTTCTACTACTCACTCCACTTCCCAGCATCCATTCTGACCTAAGGGCTGGGCTCAGTGTTTTCTCCTTTCCAGGGTGGGGAGGAGGAGCCACAGGTTAGTGACACGTCTAAGATTGTAGAGCAAGTGAATTCAGGATCAGGGCCACAACTACTGGAAAACCCCGGGTTCCAGAAACTTCATCCTTCGGACCACTCAGCCAGCTTTACCCTGGCCAGGTAGCTTGGCTGGTTACAGCGTCATCCCCATATGCCAGGTTGTGGGTTCAATTCCCAGTCAGGGCACATACAAGAATCAGCCAATGAATGCATAAATAAGTGGAACAAATGGATGTTTCTCTCTCCCCCTCTCCCCCTCCTCCCCTCCTCCTCTCTTCTCTCCCACTTCCTCTTTCCTTCTCTCCCTCTCTCCCTTTCTCTCCCTCCCTCCTTTCCTCCCTCTAAAATCAATCAGTACATACTTTTTTTAAAAAAGAAATAAGGAAATGCCTTGTAGCTTAGAGGATACCCTGACAGGTCTCTAGGAGAAAAAGTCTGTTGTTTCACTCATGTGACTTGCAAATCAGCACTAGGTTAATTTCCAGGAAGGTGATATAAAATCGAATGCATTATTTTCCCTGTCTAGGACACCATTTCAGGCCCAGGCCTAGATGATCTTTAGGAGAGGCTCTAGGACTGATTGAAGGCCCTCAGCGCTCTTCACACCCCACTGTGCTCCACACTCCAGATCCCTCTCGGCACAGTGCTCCAAGTCTGCCAACGAGGAGACCCACGTGCAGCTGAGTCTTACAGGGTACACAGGGATGCCTTGTGGGATGGGGGTGCCTAAAAGATAGGGATCAGTTCCCCCAAATACCATTAGCCTCTTTAGCATCCTAAGACTATATTACCGAGAAATTTACATAAGTCCAGGTATCATCCTTGGAATTGGACACTTGGGGACTGTTTGTCCTAAAGGGGCTGATTATAAGATTCAAAGGGTAGGGGCAGGTTCTAGTAGTCTAATATGTAAGAGGTCACCCCTATGAGGACACAGGTGGAGAAGATGCTTTTAGGTCCTTACTTCAGCTAACATTTCCACCGTGAATGTTTGCTCATCCAAACAGAAGGTTCTCAGGGTCCCCATGGTCACAGATCAGTGGTACTGGTGCCTGAGCAGGTAGAACGACTTACAGATTCCCCTCCAACCTTAAGGAAAGGTCATCAATTGGCACCACTGTAAATGCAGTTTGAGCTAAAATGTTGGTTCAGCCACCAGGGTGGGGCCTTGTTCTGTGTCTGCTGCTTACCACCGAAACCCACTAAGGGTCTGTCCTTCCCTGGACAGACCGGCTGCATGATTCAGTGGGCAAAGCACTGGCTGGGGATCAGCCTTTGCTGTCTGAGCAACTTGGATATGTAATTCCCCTGCTCTCAGCCTCAGTTTCTTCCTGGAAGATGGATTGAGCTTGTGCTGGCTCAAGTTACATGTTTCTTCAAATAACAAAAGCAAATGCTGTATTTACTTACCTGCCTCAATGCATTTGTTTTGGTATTTCATTACATGGTCTAGGCAGCCTGGAAATTTGAATGAAAGTTTTTACATTTTAGAAAAGGTATCTCTGCTCCACCCCCTTGCCAACAAGTACACACACGTATATGTTCACCACACCCGTACGAATTACCAGAACATTCCAGATGTGAGGTAAAAGCAGATTTAAATGGGACACTAACATTTTACTGTTAAACAGAAGATTATCTACCCATGAAGTGATAACCAGAGTCTAATTTAAATATAGCCTTTATCACAACAGGTTCTATGATACCCCCGAGAAGATTCAAACCACGTTCTTTAAATGTGAGGTTTGGCAATATGTGTAAATACTACCCCTTCCAGGAGGTGGAGCTTAATCCACCCCATACTCCCACCTAGGGTGGGGGAGACTCAGTGACTTGTTTCCAAAAACTAGACTTGGACAGGGGAAAAACAGTAGATTAACATGGAGAAGTCTGGTAGGTGGCACTTAACCAAGTGATAAAGTCAACACTAACAATAAGGTGTGGATGTCACCCACTCTGATAGGATGCCATGAGAAGTGTGCCTTACCCCTGTGTATGCTCAGATTGGGGGACATTCCACAGGATGCTGGCCAGTACTCCTCAAGACTGTCAAGGTCATGAGGAACAAAGAAAGACTAAAAGCTGTCACAGACAAGAGGAGACCCATTCCAGATGGGAGTGCTGTGGAAATTGCTGTAGTCAGACACCATGCAGGACCCTTCACCGGTGATCCTATCTCATCCTCACTGCAGCCCAGTGTGTGACACTGCAGGTGTGACACCAGAGAGCTGATTAAATGTCATAGAGCAGGGGAAAGAACCCAACATTCAGCTCAGCGCCACCTGCCTCTCACCAATAGTTCAGGGACGAGCCTACTGGTGGCTGTACATCCTCAGAGACCCGGCAGCCTGCTCTCAAACACAGCATGCTAGGAAACCAAGACTGAAACAAACATGTTGCATCAACGACAGAGTGGCTAAAATGCATGCACCAAGGACCAAAGTGCGAATATCAGCTTCACTTTCATTGTGTGTGCAACCCAGGCCACGTTACCTGAGAAAGTTCTTCACCTGTAAAACTTATCCCAACCTCGGGGTTGTTGGATGCCTAAGTGACATGTTCAGCATAGAGCCTGACACACAGAAATGGGCTTTTCCCCAATTTTACTTCTCCACTCTGTGAGGTGCAGTTACTATGTTGTCCATATTCCAGAACTTAGCAAAGCTAAACGCCTTGTCCAGGGTACTCTGGCCTCTCTGTACCAAACCACGTACCCCAAAGCAAGCCTCCCAGCAAGACAATAACAGAGAGTGAGGAAGTTTACCTGGCGAGGCGAAATTCACAGACATGGAGGGGCTGTCGTCATTCATATTTGCATTGGGGATATTATGGGCCCCAATGAAATAGAGTGTGTTCAGCTCTACAGGGAAGCCAATGTAGGAAAACATCCACTGAAAGGCAAAGCAAGGATCCCCTGAATTTCTGAAACACAGCAATGCAGGAGCATAGTACCTTTGTGTTGCCCTTTTCATTCATAGTTTCATTCCTCAAACTACTGCGGGAACTTGTGTCTGTAGCCGATGTCTGCCTAGAGAGTGGACCCCACACAATTTGTCAGTGTAACTCAGAATCACAGAAGTGTAAAATTTTAGAGCCGGGATATAATTTTAAGTTCAGCTCCCCTCAGTTTGCTGATGGGGAAACTGAGGCTGAGAGATGCTGACTTGCCCAAGCCACACAGCAGAGAAGTGACCAAAACTAGGCTTTGAACCCAGACATCGTGCTCCAGACTGAAAGTTGTAGTTGCAGCCTGTGTATGCGGCACACCATCCATATCCCCACAGAAAGGGCCATCCTAGTTTTAATGACAGCCAAGTTCCTCAGAGTGCTTACTTTGCCACCAGAGGGCCTGGTCTGAGTCTGGAAAGCCTCTGTGTAATTGCACCTCACGCAGCCGTAGGACTGGATGTTGCTTTTGCCTGACACACAGATCTTGGTGGCCTTCAAAAAGCGGATGCTGGCTGCCAAGAGAGACGAGAGCAGTTGTTTATTTAGCATCTATTATGTGGCCAACTTGATGCTAAGAGTATACATGCGTCAGTCATGTCATACAACAGCCCTCAAAGGCAGGTACCTTGTCCCCAGCTCACTGATGGGGTGAGTGAGGCTTCGGGAATTTGAGGGAGATTTGCCTAAGCTGACAAAGCCCATCAGACAGAATACGGATTCAGATTCCAAAGCCTAAACACTTCCCTCATCACAGGTGAGCCTTAATGTCATAGGATACCTGCAAAGGTGACTCTAGCTCTGCACTACTCTGGGTCTTTTCAGAAGTAAGAACCCTCCAGAACATCATCACCAAACCATGCCTGTTCTGACTGCACTTTTTTCTTATTGTCTACCTCTCCAGGGCTTTCTTCTTCAAGGCCGAACGTATGTCTATAACAACAGCTAACAGATACAAAAACTCACTCCTCTAGGTATGGGGCCAAAAGCCTTATTGCATCACCTAACTTAAAGTGGCCTCATGAGGGCCCTCTCCTCCTCCTCCCCCTCCCTGCCCCCATCCACTCACAGCTTCTTTCGGGATTCCAGGCACCGTCCCTGAGCCTGTGCCTGTAGCTGACTCACCTCTCCGTGCCCGGCATTCCGATTCCTGACCTGATGGAATCTAACTGTGGAAACTACAGACATGGGCTTTAGGACCCCAGAATTTATCAAAAGAATTGTGGTTCATCAAAAGAACTCACAAGCTGCCCTGGGGGAATGCTAGGACTTTCACAATGCCATTGGGAAGTGAAAAAGGTAACCCAAGCAAGAGCTTTTCCTTTTTTTTTCTTTTAAATTTTTGTTGACTACATTGGGGTGACATTGGTTTATAAAACTGTATAGGTTTCAAGTGTACAAGTCTGTAATATATCATCTGTATATTGTATTGTGTGTTTACTCTCCAAGCCAGTACTTTCCCTAAACTTGGGAGGATCACCTCTGGCCTCATCCTGTCTTCTTCCATGAGGTATAACATTGTATTCAGAGAAGTACATAGATCAGACTCCACTTGATGAGTGTTCACACTCAGGTAGCCAGTACCCAGGTCCAGACACACCCCAGGAGTGTCCCTCATGCTTCCTTTCAGTCACTCCCACCCCAGCGTAACCACTATCTGACTCCTACCTGCTTAGGTCAGTTTTGCATTTTTGTTAATGGAATAAAATGATATGTACAACTGTAGGCATGCATGCAGATATGAATATAGGAACTCTTGAATCTGGCTTGGATTTGTGAGATTCATCCATATTGTGTATCATTATAGGTGGTTTGTGCTTATTGCTGTGTTGGATCCCATTCTGTGATTCCAAGTCTAGTCAGGCATGTGAGTGCTTTCCATCTTATTGCTGTTATGAACAATGCTACTATGAACATTCTAGTATGTGGTTTGGGGTGCATGTATGTATATATTATTCTGGGTATATGCCTAGGAGTAAAATTAATGGATCATATAGTCTGCACATTTCTGCCTTAACTTTGATTGATGCAAACTTACCATCTGCCCGGAGTATCCAGCTTATGTTCATCACAATTGAATAGTTGTCGCTGGTTTTAACAGGTTCCACTCGAAGGTCCCTCAAGTCTCCTGGGGTCAGAGTGTGATTGACCATCCACTCTGGAGACGGTCCTGGGAGAAGGTGAGACTGTCCATGACATGTCCCTCCCTGGCCCAGTTCAACGCCATCTCCTCTAAGTGACCCACCCTCATCCAACCCTCATTCACAATCCATCTCTTCTCCCTGCTGAGGCGACCAGACATTTCTCAGTGTTGACGGATGTATAGCCAAGGTGATGCTCAACCTCCCGACCCCAACCTACAGAGAACTTGGGACCACTCCAGGTACGTGTGTGTGTGTATGTGTGTATTTAGTGTATTTTACATGTTTATTAGGCTCAGTTCTGCTTTACCCATGCCTCAGCCTAGACTCCAGCCAGCTTACCCATACACCTCCCACTTCCTACCTCCTAATCTTTGCAGGTACCGTCTCTCCTCTAGCTCACCCTCTTTATCCACATTTCTGGGGCAGTAGTCAACCCAGTCTTCTAATGCTGCACTGTCAAACACTCCTTATCTAAAACACTTGCTTCCTGTTTATAAGTGTAAGTGACCTCCCTCTCATAACACTTGATTTCCCTCCCAGGAGTGGCGGACTTCACTTTCTACCTTGCACAGCCATTCCTGCCCCACCTACACCCCTCTTACTGGCCTGGAAGCCAGCTTACCTGAAACACTGGGAGTTCTGCGTTGGGCAGAGAGAGGCTTCATGTGCATCAGCTAACAAAGCAATAGTCCACCCTAAGCCTTGTCTCCAATGACCCACTGCCTGGATTCAGCCCTGTAAGGTCCAGCTGTCTTTCCATTTCAGTGTAAAGCCCCAAATACCCATTCCCTCATGTACCTACCATTTTCAGAGCCACACTGAATCGTCTGTAAGAAAGAAAGAAACCAAGTGTCATGCTGAATGCCAGCAAACCACAATCCAAGTTAGTCAAAACCCCATCTTTTTTTCTTAAATGCATATACAAGTGATGAATGCTCAAAGGAAAGCTAAGCTGCTTCCACTGCACAGTTTCGGGGAGACTAAGCTGCCTCATTGTAGGCTAGGATAGACTATAGGTCAGCCATCATACTAGATCCTGAAGCCTACTTATCGCCTTAAAGACCAGAGTGGGTGACTCTGGACCATCATGAAGATCCCTTCACACTCTAATGTTTAACTAGGTTTTCAGGTCCATCTAGAGTTTTTTGGTTTTGAGGGTTTTTTTAAGTTTTCTCCAGGTTAAGGATTGGCTGTGCTAAGATGAACAGAAGAAAGCCCTGAATGCAGTTCACAGTACCTTCCTCAGGTTCTTTACAATATTCCTCTTCTAATACAAAAGGACTGACTCACCTGAGTTATTTACAAAATGATAAAGCAACTGTGATCTCATCATGTTATCTTTGTAAAAGAACTTAAAAATAAATACATATCATCAGCGTCTAAGGAAGGCCCATATCCAATCCTCTGGAGTTAATTGCTCATGGTTTTCAATTAGAAAAAACAATATTCTGGTTTTTGAAAAAAATACTGGCCCTTTCAGGCAGCAGCAAGTACTAGTGACAAGACTCAATGTGGTAAGTTCACCAGCTCTGGAAGCTGATCCCTCCCAGCCTCAACATTTCCAAATACCTTGTAAGACAGAAGGCAAGACTTTTGATGGTTTGAGTAATCTGGGTTTAGGTAAATTGTCACTCACCTTTGTCTTTTGGAAGCTGAACTCCATGGGATATCATCAGACATTTTTTAAAACAAATAAGTTACCATACTGGGTGCTGGGTTCTGTCAAAAGGCTGGTGAGACAAATTGTAGGAAGATGCAAAGCAACAGCTCTATACTTTAGTGTTCAAACTGTTGGCCTGAAACTCAAAGGCAGTGAGTTCTTCCTTTAGTAGAAAAGGCCAGGGGGTGCCAAATTGAGACCGGTACAACGATAGTAGCTGAAGACATCAGGCACATGAATGAGGTTTGTCATTCCATAACCATCAAGTAACCACCATAGTTTTATGTTATATGCTGTGCTAAAAAGGCAGGAATATAATTTCAAATACTGTTTTGCAAATAAGGTTTTTCCTCTTTAGTGACTCAGAAGATTCCCTCCGCCTTTCAAGGCACCAGGGAAGAAAGGAAACTCACGCAGGAGAGTTGGAGTGATTACCAGCTCCAGGGACTGAGCACCCCAGCACAGCGCAAATCAACATGACAAAAAAAGGCCTGTGGTGATGGAGAAGCAGTTCCTGTGCCCCAGAAGGTGGGCAGACCTCAGGACCCCAACCAGTAATAATACTGAGTACCTACTATGTGCTGGGGGCTTTGCTGCCTTACAGACCCTCCCTGTTCCTCAATAGACTTTGGTGAGTTCGTATTACCCTTTGTTTTATAGATGAGGGCACAGGTTTAGTAAGCATAAATAACTGGATCAAGAATACAGGGTGGCATTTGAGGCTGGGTCTGTCTAATTCCCATGACCCCTGACTCGAGCAGCTTGAAGCCTGGTGTCGCCTGGACAGGACAAGTGGGGCTGTCCCAGGGGGTGCACATTTGCCCCCTCCAGACGGCCCTTGGCGAAAGCCTTGAAGAGGCACGAGCTGGCCGGTCGGCTACTTTCAGGGTCCGGGCTCGAGGGATGGAAACGCGGAAAAGGGGTGCGGATGGTAGCTTACCGGCTCCAGGGAACGGGCACCCCAGCACAGCGCGGCCAAACTCAGCAACACCAGCGACATCGCAGGGCCACCGCCCCCCACCGCACTGGCCCCTGACAGCCTCTCGCCGCGCTCTTATCCAGGCTCCCCGGGCCACCCCTTTGGGCTCCGCCCCCCACAGCT